CCTTTTATTCGAACCATGTTTATTTCCACCTCCTCCAACATTTTCTCCAATAAAACTATTTGCTCTCCTATGAGAATGTTTATTTCCCATTATTTCTGTCACTTGACAGTTATTGATGTCAAAATGTTAACAAGAATCTTGCTTTCGAATATAAAAATTAAAAAACACAACGAGAGAGTGTTATTGTTAATTAGTTTGTTTGTATTTTTTTCTATTTGGTGCACATTTCGTAAATTGACTTTTGGCATTTTGTTTGATGTATTGACATGCTCGATTATTTTAGGATGTCAACCAAATTTACTTAGTAAAGTGCATGACAAGATGAAGCACTTTTGTAGCTCTCATCCGCTTCAGTTTTGTTTAGGTATTTATTTGCTCAGAGAACTAAACGAGATTCTCTTGTGTGGAATAGTTTATTTTGGAGGATCAAAGTTTCTGATAGAAGAATCTGATAGAAAGAAGGTTTTTTGTATGTGCAGTAAGAAATAAAGTGTTGGAAGGTTTCGAATAATTTTATATTCTTGAGAGTGTTAATAAATTTAGATTGATTGTTGTGTGTTTGAAGTTCTGTCAGACATTGCTCCAATTCACTTATTGATTGAATTCCATCATCCTTACTTCTTAGTTTTGCCAAATCCTTAAAATTTTCATCTCACGATCTAGCACAAAATTGGAAAATAAGTATTTCTGGAATGAAACAGTTGACCAGTTTGGATTTGAGTTATGAAGTATGTATTGAATAAAGACTTGATGTTATTTGAAAGGATTTCAAAGTTGGCTCAATCTTCAGCTAATTATCTGTTGTTTGATTTCTTGTGTTGTTTCAAAATAAAGCACTTTAAAACACAAAAAAGTTGTTTTTCCAAATTGCTAAAAATCATGTCTAAGAATCGACGTGGCATTTTTGTAAATTTGAGAAATGTCAAGTTTTTCAAGTTGTTGATTGACTAAAAGCTGTTGCTTCTTGTAATAATATTTTTATAATTGAGAGATGGCTGATTCTTGAGGTTTTGATAAGGAAAATATACTAATTTTGTCCCAAAGTGGAATTTCAGTGAAAATTTCTGATTGGTCAACTAGGATTGGTATTCCACTAGTGTTTGATTTGGTTTCACTATTCACATATTCTCTAAAGTCTTCCTTTCTAATAATCTGATCAGAATTCAACACAGATTGAGAAATGTCATCTCGTTTCTGAATAATTTCGACACTTGTCACAGATTGTGAGCTAGTGCTGTTAAATTCAATCAATACAAAGTCCAAAGGACCAAATGAAAATGTTACAATAATGCAAAATAAGAGGAGGGATATTTTGTGGATGAATAAACAAATAGGATAAAGTGGAATATAGTAAGCGAAAGCTAATCCTCCAAAACTCATTGAAATTAAGTTGAGAAGAGCCATGTAGAGTTGACCAAATGTTAGTAGGAGCATTTTACGACATGATTTTCTTCTCTGATCGGTCACTGGAAACTTTTGATTGAGAATTAGCTTTCTAATAGTAAAACAACAAT